TACGTTGAAGTCGACGAATGTCGAGAATATATATATATATATATATATATATATATATATATATATATATATATATATATATATACACACACACACAGACACAGACACACACACACATATATATATATATATATATATATATATATATATATATATATATATATATAAAATATAAACAATTTTCCATTGTCTAGGTGCTGTAAATGCCGACTGAGAACATAATGGTGGTGAAGTTGAACTCATTTTGTCTCTTATTTTGTTATTGTTTAAATTTTAAATTTGAATCTTGTTATATATGTCATTGAATTTATTTATTCATCCTTAGAATTTCGTTTAATTCTTTTGCTCTGTTTCATTTTATTTTTTATTTATTCTGCAGAATTTCTCCCGTCCTTTTATTTGCTATTGACGTTTATGGATTATTCTGTTCGTTTTCAAATGTTATTTTATTTAATCCTCAGAGTCCTGATGTTTGGTTAGATCATATAAGAATGTGTTTTTCATCTACATTCTTAAATGCGTCGTGATCTTTACTCCGATTTTTATCAAATTTATGAAAGGTTGATTATTGCTGTTCTGTTTTCTAAAAAATTTAGATTGTTTTGATATATTGTTGTTAGTTGGTGCCTTTTTTGAATTTTCTTATTCTGGCGTCGGATTTTGAGGTTATGAAAATATTTTTCGAGGGCTGGACCTATTCTTCTGTTAAATTATTTTTTTTAATGAAAACGTTATGCTCCTACTCCAACTGGAACTACTGATGTTCTCATTTGACACAATTTTTAGATTTTCATCTCAATATCCTTGTGTTTTTTATAGTTTTTGAAGATCTTCAATGATACATTACAGGGATAGCCATATGAATAAGAAAGTACATACTGTTTTTGTGGTCTTCGATCACGATGTCTGGTCGATTAGTTTGATTGCTCTGTCAGTGTATTGTAAAATCTCAGAGAATTGTTATGACCTTATCTCTGTAAGCGATTCCGTTTGATGCTCATACAAGTTACTTGTAGTTTTCTTCTCTTAAAATTTGCATATATTTTGCAGTGTCGATATTGGCGACTCTGTCTTGCCGAGTTTTATATTCAGTGGGTGCTAACACTGTGACACCTATACAAGATGGCCATTTGGTTCTGGATATTTATAACAGATTCTGCATTTCCGTTAAACAATTTTTCAGTATGTGTGATTTGTATTTTCTATTTAGTAAGGTCTGGTCTTGTGAAGCAAGAATAAAATCTTCGATTTCAGTTTTAACTCAGCACTATTTAACCAGTGATGGATACGGCATTTGTCTACATCGGCTTGGTTGGTACAGGCATAGTACTGACCATGAACAGAAAATCTTGGCATCGTTTTTTAATTTGGTACATTGTATTTTCTTTTGATTTTTTTTTGGGTTCTTTGCCGCTTTCATTTGCATTTTTCACTCACTTGAAATTCCAATTTGAATTTCTTGGCATACTTTAATTCAAAATAAATTTCTCATGTCCTTCATATTCTTTGACACTTTTCATCACCCAGTCTCCTCAAGTTTCCATGTATCTTTGAAAGCCGATTGTTGTGAGTTTGTAAGACAGTTCTAGTTGAACTAATCCGCTGGTTTCTTTGGATCTGGGCACATACAAAATGATCACTATCAACCTTAGAATGATGCATGCGACCGCAGGTGAGAATCTTTCTCGATTTGACATCCATTCACTTAATAAGAGCTATAATACTGTTAATGATGTTCAAACTGTATTGTATCAGAGAGACATTAATAATGGATGTGATATGAATGAAAGAAAAGGTGACGATTATGAGGAGGAAGAGGGCGAGAAGTGGAAGAAAGATGGACATTTCAGTTGACGCGATAAATATTCAAAAAAATATGCAATTACTCAGCCAGGAATCCGTTACACAAAACAACCGCTCTTAGGCAAAGGCTCTCTGACGATAAATTTATTTTTACATTTTTGAATATGAAAGAAGTGTTTACAAGATACGATTCCGTGGAAGTGGCATTGTATTTACAGGCTGTAATCACTTGAACTGATGGAACTAAAGATCGAGGATCATCTCAATATTTGACATGGAAATATTGATAGAGTTTTATATTTTAGATCTCCTCTGTCAATATGCAAAATTTCCACTCGATTATGTCACATGTATGGATGAAACAATCCTGCTAAAATTTAAAATTTGACAATTGTTTTTCTTAGATTTAAGTTGAACTCTGTTGCACCATGTATGTCTTATCTTTATGTCGGTAAGATCAATTTTGATTTAATATATGTTTTGTATTAATCTTCTAATAGTGTAGTTAACAAATGACATAGATGTAATGGCGTTTGGCTGACATTTTGATATTTAATATAGATTTTTTATTGTTATTAACACCTATATAAAGAACCTTTATTCAACAGTAGCATTTATTTTTACTTAGTTATATATATTTCAAATATTTCATTGGTATCTTAAAAGAAACCTTTTTAAACTCATTAGGAATATAGCTTGTCATGTATTTTATTAAACTACCTTTATCTTTCCTAGGGAAATGACATTGCTTAATATAAAAATATTGTAGCCATTTGCATCCGCTCGTATACGGCGTCAAGATGCCGTCTGTGTTTTTATAAATCTGGGGTCAAATAAATAAATATAGGACCGCTTTTAAAATTTTTCTCCTCTAACTTTAAACATAACATAGGTCATTTTGATTGGCTGATCTGAGTAAAACCAAACAAAACCTGCAAAAATCTCACCTCCTTTCTTTTTTACTCCTTTTCTTTTTCGGCATTTTTTGATTTATGTGGGTAAATCTTGCTTTTAAATCTCAATAAATTGTCTGCTTACTAGTTATTTACTAACGTCAGACGAGATGCGTTGATTCGTATCGAAATACGATAGCAATTGTGTAATATTTTGAACATGTTTTTGATGCAATATCTCAAATTAAGTATATATATATATATATATATATATATATATATATATATATTCACTTTATTTTTCTTTAATAGGATTTCTCCAGTAAAATCCATTAAACGATTCTAGGTAAAGATAAAAGATTTAAAATGATGGAATATTTCGTATTTAGAAATAAAATATCATCATAACTGACTATACATACATATATATATATATATATATATATATATATATATTTAATCTTATATTCTGATATATATATATTTAATTTTATATTCTGATATATATATATATATATATATATATATATATATATATATATATTTATAATATATATTCTGATATATATATATTTAATTTTATATTCTGATATATATATATATATAATTTTATATTCTGATATATATATATATATAATTTTATATTCTGATATATACATGTATATATATATTTAATTTATATTCTGATATATATATATATATATATATATATATATATATATGATAAAATAGAAAAAACCTTTTATATTGACAACTTGTTTTGCTTCATAATTAGTTAGCTAAATAAGGGTTTTCAGGTCAGAAAAAAAGCACCTTTGTATATTTGATCCTAAACCCTTTAATGTCTGTTTGCGTGGTTGATTTCTTCCAGTTGGAATAAAAGATCCAAACTACGTTTTATATTAATTTCGACTTTTCTACTTTGTCTCATTTCTCCACTTTTTTTTTTAGATTCTATATCCTACTAAAACAGACGCACACACACACACGTGCACTCACATATAGGTGTAGAGATTTATATATATAATGGTTAGAATCTCCGATTGACACCAATTCAGTCGGGTTTCGATTCTAGCTAGAGGCAACCAGATGTCTAGCCACACTGATGAGCTGTGAAACAGCGAAACAGTCTGTCTGTGGATGACGTTATATTGGCTCCTGAAATATCAATTTCAGTTGAGATCTCTGGGGACGAGGTGTGGGTTGGTAAACAGTGACTATTATAGCTATATAGTGAGATTCTTCGCAGATGCGAATTGAGTCACTGTCGGCCACTGGGCGTGTTTTTAAAAATAAATATGCTAAAACCCAAAAATTTTTACCGTGCGCCGACGGCTTTTGGTTAGAATCTCCGATTAACACCAATTCAGTCAGGTTTCGATCCTATTTATAGAGGCGACCGATTGTCTAGCCACACTGATGAGCCCGAAACAGTCTGTTTGTGGATGACGTTATATATATATATGCGATTGAATAAAATCAAAAATTTATATCTATTTAAATTTTCTTATTTAAATAAACTTTACATGCTAAATGATATATTTGTGTTCAATGTTATTCAATGTTTTTTAATAACGTTCCTACCCCAAGCATATCAGATAACACAACATAGACATTGAATTTGATGTGAAAAATATTTCTTCTATAATTTAAAATATATTAGTGAAGATTCATTATGGCTATTTGTTTTTAATCTTATCTAATCTCCTGGAAAATTATTGTAAATCCATGCAAGAAAGAGGTTTAAAAAATCGCCAAACAACTTGATAAAGCAATATCCTTTAGTGCTGGTAATGTCCATAAACGTGATCTTTTTATGCTATTGTTCATAGCAAGGAACAATAGTCACCCAGGTAGAAATGTCTTCTTTCAATAATTAAATGCTGTATTTATATAATATGGTAATGTATCCTTTATAAATGACAGTTGTGTGTGTGTGATGCGGCATTCACCCTGGGCGGATTGAGCCGGCTTCTTCCTGTTATGAGAAGAAGATTCTTGGGATAAATTACAGAAGTAGGGTACCCAGGCCTACTCGGATAACGTTCTTGCTTGCCGCGGGGTTCCCACAGACGCAGAGACAGGAACGACCAGAAGCCGCCGGTTGCCGATGCAGACGCTCCTTGGATTTTTCACCAGAGCCCTTGTTAGCCGGCGTGTGTGTCAGACCTGTCCGCCTTGGGTGGCCCTACCAGGAACGAAGTTCCGGACGGCATAGCTCTGACACTACCGTTTACATCCCCCCCACCAACTGTGAGGTAAGGGTTGGACTTTGGGGGCTTGCAGTACCAGGTGTTCCCAACCTTACGGTCAAATCACGCTGAAAACACTGGTTCTCGTTCGATCACCGAAGTTAAGCATCGTAGAGCCAGGTCAGTACAGTAAATGACAGTTAATAGGTTTTTGCTTTAAACATCGTTTATAGTTAAAACACGTCATTTGAATTTAATTAATAAAACTATGTATACGCAATTGTATGTATCTGTAGCTAAATAAGAGGATTTGTGATGATGAAAACATAGCGGGAAAGTCAATCGATTTGTATTCTTTCAACCTCTGAGCAAGACATTAGGAGGAAGCGATATACAGTAAGAAGTGTTCGGGGAAATGGACATATTTACTGATATGGATATAGTCATTTCGTTTAATCTTGTTCAGAGAGCCAAACTGTCTTTGCATAATATGATTTGGGAGGTGACCTTTCCGATAGACATTTTCGTCTCTCAACATCTCAATTTCTGAGATGTGATATTGTAACTATTTACATTATTTATATTTTTCGGACAGTGGTCCACATATTTATTGTCCTATTCACGACTTTTCGGCTGTTGTACGCTCCACCATTCTTCAGGGGATACACGTTTGCATTTCAAACCGTACACTTCATTTAGTCCACGCTGGTTTATTGATTTAGTACCACGTACGATGCATTTTCTGGATATCTCAGTTTCAGTTTTTGACAGATTAGCCAGAAAAAGAACGAATTTGCTGTCGTCTGATGACATTTACTTTCAAACTTTATCCAGAAAAATTAATATTTCTTATGCCCGATTATTTAAGCGGTAGTATAAAGGCAATGAGTTTATATGCATCGACTGAAGTACTTGATTGAGCATTAGATAATAAAATAATTCAATCACTGTCGCATGCGAAATCGTATATATTATTTTTACTAACATATTTTTCGATTGTTTTTTTCCTGCTGTTACATTTAATGACCAGATTGGTTTATTTTATATAACAAATGTCATTACAAATTACATATAACCAATAATTATTGACACCATCGCACCTAAACATACATGATAAGTGACAGATTAGTATCAAACATTATTACTGCTTTATTGATTTCGATCCAAAGTCTGTTATCTTTATTTTTATTTTCTACTCCATTACATAAAATATAGCAATCCCTGATAAGCTGCATTTGCGAGTAGTGTAAACATTACCGTCGTGAACAGTTGAATTGGTGAGGCGCGCTCATATTCCGATCTACCAATTTGGAAAATGAGTTAATCCGTCTTTATTCCACCCATAACAGCTATGGATTAACTTGTCGGATCAACTAGGTTTACTAGACTTCGGCTTAAAATCTGGATTCAAAATCGCAGAGAAAGAAACGGGAAAATCTATGTCACATGCAGTCTTTACAATTAAAATAATAAAGAACGTATTTCTGTGCGTAGATACGATCATCTTTTATCATGAAAAGCATATAAAAGAAAATGTTTAAGGAGTTTCCTTATTAGGCTGAGCTTAATAAATCAGTTTTCAAATAACTATTATGTTATAGATAATGCTTCACATGGGGCATGTGAACGTGATGTAATTCCTAGCAAGCTTGTCTCGCTAGACCAATCAAGTAGAGAGTTCAATCCTCATTGCGTGCCCCATACTCTCGGCTAGACTTGATTATAAAATGCCGATTGCTACTCGTCTCCAAACACATCAATCTCCCAGGGAAGATTTAGAAAATCTCCATTACAGACGCCTTCTCAACCTAGGTAATCCACCTTTTTACTAGAACTACGCCGAATACACCTTAGCTATAGTTTATGGGAGAAAGGGCATAATCCTGCGTGATCAATGTTTTAGAGCCAGGCCACCATGGTTAAATTCTCAGTCACGATGAGTTGTCACTTTCTGATATCAGTACACTCATCAACAATTTTCCCCTCAAGGCTTGATTTAACGCACGCTAAAGTTTTCAGGAACATTCCAAACGAATCGCCTGGTAAGATTTGAACCCTCGTCTCGTGGCAATCAAGATGTTCTAACAACTCGGCAATTATATCAATACACTTGATTAATACTAACGCATATAAGTAAATATTTACTTTGAAAGTATAATCATATTAAGTATATTAATATTTATTGAACGTCGAGCATGCGCGTAAAAAAGTCTTTTTATTCAGCGTTCGGAAAAAAACGACTTATGATCCGCTTGACTGGTGACTCTGACACAAGGACACAAGGTCAGGAATAACTCATTCTACGACACAGGCTTCAAATTCTAATATATCTTTTTATAAGAAATACTCTTCAGCTAGAAACTGCATCTTCGCGTACAAATTTTCACAGTGAGTATAGATGTCTACAAGAGGCATACAAGACATTCTCCTTCTCACCGAGATAAAGAAGTCATTTTCCTTCTATTTGTTTATGCTTATGTTCAGTATAACATGATTGACAGTGCAATTGAATTATATAAACTTACATTCATATTCATATAAAGACAGGCGCTTATCTAAAGGTGTTGCCAGTAATATCAATTGCGAGTAAATACTTTTAACCTACGACCTTTGCAAAATTGGGTACTAGTGTCTTTGTTTAAATTACGGCTGGTATCCATGGTTCGTGACTCCCTGACGTCTTCAGCTTGAAGCATTGTACAAAACTGTAATTAGATTATCTAATAGGAAAACTTGATTTATTTGGGAAAGACACTAGAATAATGCAGAATATATACTGGGCGAAAACTATTTACATACGGATAAGAAATGTATTGAGTAATGTACACAATAATAAAAACGTGTAAAAAACGGATTTCTTTGATCTATAGACAGAGTCGATCCTAAAAGGACTAGGACTCCTACTAGGATTCAATATTGGTGGAAAAAATAAATAAATAAAAATAAGATTCCGGCGTGTTGACGACAGACATTGAAAGAAAACCGCAGGAGTTTCTAGACAAGGAAATAAATGGATGCTTGAAGAAAGAACGAACCATCAATTGTAAGAAAACAGAATGCATGGTTGTCAGTGATATCACATCCCAAGAAGCAAGCTGAAGATAAATCTGACATACCGAAGTCACGCAAATACAACATTTTAATCATCTTCAAGCGACGGAAAATGTGTCAGAGTCTTCTAAAGGCGCATTGGAATAATGACAGAAACCTTCGTAAAAGCGAAACAGAATATTAAATGAAACAGTAAAATTTAGTTAAAAACAAGGAAAAGAGTTCTGAAATGTTATATTGCATCAATCATTCAATATGGCAGTGAATGCTGGATATTCTCCCCAGAGATGAAGGGGAAACCTGGGTCAACGGAGATATAGTTCGTCAGAATGATGCTGAGGGTATTATAGACGGTGCTTGTGAGCAAAGAAGACATTTTTATAGAAAATGGAAACAAAGGAGCCAAATATAATTGGAATTAGAAACAGTTAAAAAATTCTTGGTTTTTTGTTCGTTGTTTGGTTGTTTTTGTTAGCGGGCTATCAACACCTCTATTTGTTATTTATTGCCGAAAGCTAAATATCTTCTACGCATTCTTTTAAAGATAATTATGATATTAGTGATGTAAATCTTACTAAGAGGTGGATTCATACCTTTCTCAATGGTATTTGCGTGTAAGCAAATATAACGAACCAAACGGGAATTGGAACTCAACTCCCCGATTACTAATTCCAAGCCACTATCGATTTCGTCACCAGCACATCCAGCTTACAACACCTGGTATACCCAAGCGGTCACCGATTTAGTTACTGACGTTGCTTAAATTCGATGATCATAGGGGAACCGGTCTTTTAACTGGATGTGGCCGTAAGCCCGAAAATCTCGTATAATGGTGAAAGGTGGTATGGAAAATTTGGCACTCATATGATTTTGTAGACAAGAGGGAGAGTGGAATATAAGCCACACATTGAACCTAACGAGTTCGGTTAAACATATAGCAGAATAAGGAGTGAGGAGGGTAGTAAAGTACATCAAATATCACTAAGAGATACGACATATAGTGTGTGTGGATTGTCAAGTTCTTTTGTGAAGGTGAAAAAGGTTTATAAAAATCGGTGTAGATTTACCTGAAATAGATAGAGCAGCCAATGTTGCATGATTGTAATTCATAATAAATGCTATCAGATTTAATAAACAGAAACTTTTTTTTTACTTACCGTTGTATAAATTGTCTAGCAAAGTAATTGGCAAACAGAAAACAGCCACCAGTATATCTGCTACGGCCAAGTTGACAATGAAGTAGTTAGTCACTGTGTGCATGTTCCGGTTACGACACACGACGGCGATGACAAAGACATTGCCTATAAAGGCGAATAGGAAGACGATGCCATAAGCAACCGAATAAATGATAATATTATAAAACTGTTGTTTTAACACTGGATAGACTTTCTGTTCAATTTCTGCCTCTTCCGTCCAGTTTGGGGATTCAGTGGCAAGCAGGCCACCAACAAGTTGTATGTCCGTATAGTTATCCATGTCGATCAAAGACGGAGATGATGAAGAAAATGGTAAATAGTCTCCATTCATGGTGATGTAGAATAATAGAAGGCAAAAAAAAAAAAAACGAAATGAAAGAAAGCTCACTAAATCAAAAAGAATGAAAGAGAGAGGGGGGTAAGAAATAAAGAAAGAAAGGAACAGAGAAAGAAACAGAGAAAGAAAGAAAGTAAAAAAATTAAAGCGAGGAAGAAAAAAAGAATGAGAGAAAGAAAGAAAGAAAGAAAAAGAAAGAAAAAAGAAAGAGGGAAATAAAGAAAAGAAAGAAAGAAAAACAAAGAAAGAAAGAAAAACAAAGAAAAAGTAGAAAAGCAAAAAGAACGAAAAAAGAAAGTCTATTCAATGTACAATTCCAAAAATTTTAAAAAATTATTACTTCTCCTTTTCTTGTTTTCACTAAGATTTGATTATGTTATATTCTTTACGATTCCTCTTTACGTAGTTCATGAAAGTGACAGCGTATGAAAATACAGGCTGTCCGTCTTTATATTCAGCTTGAATGATTTTAGCAGCGATTAGCAGACTCTTGTGCCTGTGTCCAATGCCTGTTCAGATGAAGAAGTTTTGTTTTTGTTTTAGCTCTTCTGTTTGCTTAGAAATGTATGCATTTGTAAACGCGTCTCTACGTTTCAGTATCTTG